GAATTAGGAAATAGGGCAAAACAAAGTTACATCCAAGGAGCTCTTTATCATGATGATATTAGATAAAGTCCACAGACTGTCTTTTATCATTTACTATTCACCTATGTAGGTCATCTGTTCTTCTCGGAATTGTTTTGGTCTTGCTGCATGAATAATTTCAGAGCTGTTTCCATCTTTTACTTTCAAAAATACTACTAAGCAATAGCGATATTACTGAATTAAGAGTTTTATTACAAGATATCCATGTAAACACAGGACTTTTACATTTTAAGCTATATGACAAAAGAGGATTTGGTTAAGCTACAGGAGCTGCTGCTCCCTTTAGGCTATTTTGCATGTGTGTGGGGTAAGGGTAACAAATAGGCTGGCTATAAAATTGCCTTTAATTAGCTGGCTCAATGGCCTCCAACGGTGTGCGGGACTCCTGTGCTACAAGAGAGACTTTGGAATCTTCCTCCATGCTCCTGGGTAGACTTAGCATATTACTTACATGCTGTCCTGTGGGAAGTGCTGGCAGTATTACCCAAATAACCATCCCACTGATTTTAGTGGCTCGTAGGGAAGTCATATACCTTCCCTTCTGAGGAATATGTGTAGTTAGAGGTTGGGTGCCATGACAGTAATAACAATTTGAATGAGAATCAAAGAGATTTAGAAGAGGAAAGTTAATAGAATTTTTAAATGATATTTTTCTGTTCTTTGAATTAAAAAAAGCCATATGCATAATAAATGAAAAAATAACCCTCACTGTATGTTAAAAGAGCATCAGTTAGTATTGCAATAGTCAGAAAAGTGTGTGTGTGTGTATACATATAAATTATGATTTTGCACATATAAAATACACATATATTTCATATATATAATTATATATGTGTCTGTTGTATATACATGTACATAAACATGTAGGCAGTTTCTAAGAATGCAAGACAACTTTTACTTGAAGTTCTTCATGGGTATCATGTTTTCATATCATCTAAAATCCAACACAAGACTGAAAAATACCTATTGAAAATTTCTAATTAAATT